CAAACCCCCTCCCCCCTATATCTTTTTTTCATATATAAATACACATTGTACTCAAAACAGATTCTTCATCAAACAGTTTCAAATTTATTTCAACTTACAAATATTCTCGAGCTTATTACAGATTCTTGATATATTTGGTTTTATTAGTTGCTACCGGAAAACAAAATGGGCTCATCGGAGATTGTAGATTCCGGCAAGGTCACCGGCCAGAAGTCTCAGTTTTCTCAAACTTGTAATCTTTTGAGTCAATTCTTGAAGAAAAAAGGTTCATTTGGAGATCTCAATAATCTTGGTATCTACCGCAGTTTTGAACCAATTGGTATGTTCTTTTTTTTTCTTCCCTTTTTACTCTTTATTTTATCCTCTTCTTGTCAAAATGTGAACTTTAAATCCATAGGTGTTTTCTGTTATCATTTGCTAGTTAGGGTGTTAGCTAGCATAACCTAGACGGAGCTAGAATTTTAAGTTTTATAGAAAATACAACTTATTGAGTTTTGAATAAATTATTTATATATATTAATTAAATTTTTTTAACAAAATATAGAATTTGAGCCAAAACTATTAGATTATGTTGAGCCCCGTACAATAGATCCGCCCATCTTAGCTAGTATTCCCTCTTACTTAATTTGTGTATCGGTGTTGAACTGAACACAAAGTCTAAGAAAAATTAAAAAAATTGAAACTTGTGAATTCATTTCAAGGATTTCAACTTTATGAGTTCTGAATTTTGGAACGATACTCTAAGTGCTAATAACTGGATTCTAAATATAACATTTGTATTTATTTGATAAATTTTTTAACACAAATATATCCTTTGAAAGGAGCTTCAGCTCCGCCCCGGCTTGTGATGCATAACATGATATTTCTGTGACTAAAAATGCTTGTCATTAAGAATAAAATAAAAAGTTTAAAGTTAAATATTGAAATGTATGATTCATTCTAGGAAAGGCTAAAAAGAAACAGTTATTCTAGTTTCAAAATTTCAGCTTTTTAAATATTTTGGAAATTGAGGCGTTTTTTTCTGATGTATTTTGGTCTTATTTCTTGAAACAGGAAACCAAACAACTACTACTATGAATTTATTGCCAATGATTGAGAAATCAGGTGATTCAGCTGAGAATAATTCTCAAAAACCAATGAATCTTTTTCCTCAAGAAGTTATTTCTACTGCAAAATCTGAACCAGAAAAGGCACAAATGACAATATTTTATGGTGGCCAAGTTATTGTATTTGATGATTTTCCAGCAGATAAGGCAAATGAAATCATGAAATTGGCTAGCAAAAAAAACAACAACAAACAGAATTTGGCTAGTAACATTTTTTCTTATGCAATGGTAAATAATAAAAAATCAGCTGAATCTGTTACTATCAATTCGACTCAAGAACTTCGTACGCGAACTCAGGTGCCAATATCACAATCCTCTGTTGCTGATTTACCAATTGCGAGACGAAATTCACTTACAAGATTTTTGGAGAAAAGAAAAGATAGAATTACTTCAACTGCACCATATCAGATTTGCAACAAAAAAGTAGCTGATTCTAAGAATGAGGAAAATAAGGCATGGCTTGGATTAGGTGCTCAATTTGTTCCAGTGAAAACTGAGCAGTTCTTTTAGTTATTTTGGTAATATTACTAGTAATTGACAAAGTATCTTTCAAGTTTTTTTTTTTTTTTTTTTGTCTTGGTTTCAAGCTTGATTGAAGCCAATATTATCTAACTAGATCTGATTTACTATTATTGAGAGATTTTTTGTAATTAAGACTAAGATTGTTTGTTCAGTACCTCATATGTATTTGATTTATTAACGTTCATTTTTGTTGCATTTTCATTTCTATTTCTTTTTTAAAAATTTGTTGTACGGCCCCAAAATCTTTTTCAAGATTTTGAAGGTATTTCTCGGAAATAATTCATTCCCTCCAAGGGAAGAGCTCAAACTGTTAGTTTCTATCATAGATAAGATAGCGATGAAGGAAAAGAAAAAATATAGATAATAAATGCATATAAAAGTAGAGGCGGACTCAAAATTTAAAAGTCGGATTACACTTTTCGATTTAACCCAAATTTATTTTCTATATAGAGTATTAACTATTAATATATTATTATTTTTTAAAAATATTTGTATGCATACATAAATTTTTTGCTGAACTTTAGGGGTGCTGGTGACCCTAATATAAGCATTCAAAAGTTTGTTATAACGGTTAATGAAACGGTGAAAATCATATTAGATCTGGGTTCTAAGTTTCAGCAAGGACAAAACATGATACCTTTGAATCGGTCACCACTATTATAAAATAAATTTATTTACCACTATTATAAAATAAATAAATAAATGCATATACAAAAACTAAAACTAAAGATGGTAATGGAAATAATCAACAAGCCACAATTGCAAGAGGGGTAAGGTCAAACATGCCTGCTTGAAATTTTATTATTTTCTTTTAATAATTGTTTATTATGATCTGTGATATGACTATCTTGTTGGCCTCCAATAATTGACCAAACACTATTTGAGAAAATTTTGCACGTTTTGCTTTGTCCTCCCCCTCCCCCCCCCCGGCCCATGCCAAACTTTCATAATGTTTAGACTACCTAATTGTAGTTAGATTTTGGTCTGGCTATTCATCTTCATTCAATTAATGCATCTTTTTTAGACCTAATTTGGAGTCTGGCTATCTATCTTCATTCAATTTATGTTAGCCTTAAAGCTAACCCTTGAAAGTGAGATTGAAATTTACCTATGGTGACCACTAACGGGTGCACTGAAATAGTAAGTATTCTGTCATCCTTAACGTGAATCTCGGGTTTGAGTCATAAGAATAGAGTCGCCTTTAGTATGCAACATTTAACCCTCGAAAGTGGAACTTTTCGGTGTAGATCCGAAGTAGTCGCGCCCCAAAGAGGATACCCCACTCAGAATCCTAAAAATGGAGTCGCCTATGCAAAATATTTTGAGTTAGTTGCTAACATAAAAACTTATTATATATATATATATATATATAAAATTTCTCTAACAAGAAATTCAATTATACTCTTTTTAGTCTATGTAGCTCTACCCCTAAATTTTAGGTAAAAGTTGTAATTTCACCACATAACTTAGGTTTAGGACTCAAATTTGACCAAGTTAGGTGTATAGCCTGTTTGGCTTAGTTTCTATTATCCCAGATGCACAAACTTTTGAAAGAAAAAAAAAATATACTTTTGAGGAGAAACAGAAAAAGTAGCTTTTTTAAAAAAGTATTTTTTTGAAAAATACATTTAGAAGCAGTTTTTAAAAGCTTGGTCAAACACTAATTGCTGCTCAGAAGTGCTTTTCAAATAATTAGCCAAACACATTGTTTCTCACCAAGTACTTTTGAATTTTTTTTTTCTAAAAATAAACTGATTTTTACGGTTTGGCCAAACAGACTAATAATATTCAAATTTGACCTATTCCTTCCCTTAATTTCCCTTGCCTTCCTCTATTCACAAATCACCATTTGTCGCAAAAATACTTAAAAAGAAAAATTAAATAAAAATCCCCAATGTGAAGATTTCTTTTTTATAATTGGAAGGTCCACTATTACCCCACCCCTGAAATTAAATATAAAAAACAAAAACGAAAAAGATAAAACAAGAGTACAATCCACCGTCATTATATACTCACGCGGTTTTGAAAATTAAAACACGGGAAAAGGTTTCAAAAGATGGTGAAAAAGAAAGATAAATTAGATTGCAAAATGAATAAACAAAAGACAACATAATCGAGTAGTACAATTGAATACATAAACAAAACATTACTGAATGAGAGTTTTTCGCTATTGATCGGAGATTTCGAATTCTAACTCTAAAAACTAAAAAAACAAAATCTCGGTAGCAAGTGTTTCTTCCTATATTAAGTTTTATATGATAAAATTTGAAATAATCGAACCATAATTTATAATATTCAATAATCTATATTATCTATATCTATATTTATACTATATTAAACTTAACGAAATGTCGTTCGCCTTTTTTACCATTTAAAAATAGAGTTTACATTGGACAAAATTATAATTTAATCATTCTCCTAATATTTAGGATTTAGAAATCAACTAAAATTTTATTCATTAAATCTTTCCTTATTTGAACTATGTAATAAATTGTAATGACCCAACTGGTCATTTTTACTTTTAGAACCCTGTTCCCCTAAATAAAACTCCCCGTATGTGCTTTTATAAATTTATGACTTGCGGGGATGGTTGGTTCGGGATTTGGAAGTGTTCGGGTTGAAATCGGAACACTTGGTTCCTTGAGTTGGCCTTAAAATGCTAAGTTTGACTTCGGTCAACATTTTGAGAAAATGACCCCGGAATAGAATTTTGATGATTCCAACAACTCCGTATGGTGATTTTGGACTTAGGAGCGTGTTCGAACTTTTATGTGGAAGTCCGTAGTTAAATTAGGCTTGAAATGGCTAAAATAGGAATTTAAGTTTGGAAGTTTGACCGGGGAGTTGACTTTTGATACCGGAGTAGGAATCCAGTTTCGAAAATTTTCATAGCTCCGTTATGTCATTTATGACTTACGTGCAAAATTTGAGGTCAATCGGACTTGATTTGATAGGTTCCGGCGTCGTTTGTAGAAATTGAAAGTTTCAAAGTTCATTAGGCTTGGATCTATGTGTGATTCGTGTTTTTAGTGCTGTTGGATGTGATTTGAGGACTCAACTAAGTTCGTATGATGTATTAGGACTTGTTGGTATATTTGTTTGAGGTCCCGAGGGGCTCGGGTGAGTTTCAGATGTTTAACGGATCATTTTTGGACTCGGCTTGATAGCTGAAGTTCTGGTTTCTGCAGGTTCTGGTTTCCTTCTACGCGATCGCGTGAGAAGGTATGCGATCGCGTAGGGTTAATTGGGCAGCTGAAATTTTGTGCTATACGATCGCGTGAGCGAGTCCGCGATCGCGTAGGTTTGGCAAGTTGTGCTATGCGAACGCGTGGCTAAGACTGCGTTCGTGAAGAGGAAACGAGGCAGAACCTGGTCCACACGCTTAACCCTTCGCGATAGCGTGGATGAGTCTGCGATCGCGTAGGTCTAGGAATGTCGTGTTTCGCGATCGCGTGGAGTTACGCGATTGCATAAGCTTAATTCTGGGCAACCTTATTCTGTTCTTCGCGATCGCGTGCCTTTGGCCGCGATCACATAGAAGAAAAAGCCTGGGCAGAAAGTTTAAGTTTTGAAAATGGGACTTTATTTTCCATTTTTAACGATTTGGAGCTCGGATTGAGGCAATATTTGGGAGATTTTCGGAGAAAATATCGGGGTAAGTGTTCTTAACTCAATCTTGGTTAGATTACCCGAATCCATCATTGTTTTTAACAATTAATTGGTGATTTAAATTGGAAAATTTTGAAAATCCTCTTGGATAGATTTGAAGATTTGAGGGTCGAATTGTTATCGAAATTTAGTCATTTTGGTATTGTTAGACTCGTGGTTGAATGGGCGTTCATATTTCATAACTTTTGTCGGATTCCGAGACGTGGACCCCACGGATAATTTTTGAGTTAATTTCAGTTTTTATGAAAAATATAGTATTTTCTTATGGAATTGATTCTATAATTTTTGTTGACTGTGTCGAATTAATTATGACTAGATTTGAGTCGATCAGAGTCGAAAAATTGAGGAAAAGGCATATTACTTGGTTAAATTGGAGCAAATCGAGGTAAGTGACTTGTCTAACCTTGTGTGGGCGAAATTTTCCCAAGGATTGGTATTGAAGTGATAAATTAAAATGTGTTGAAAGTCGTGTACACGAGGTGACGAATGTGTATACGGGCTAAATGTTAAAGATTATATTTTTAAATTGTGTAGATCGCTGTTGCATATTAAATTAAATAATTTTACCTTGTTATATTCTTCATCATTGATTTAAATGTTTATATTTTAAATTTGCTTGACATTTTCCTGCTAATTATTTTACCTGTTTAGTTGAAACTTGGTTTCTTTTATTCTGTGCATTATTGAAGGTTCATTTTCTTTAAATTAAGTATTATTAATATGAATTATTTTATATTTTAAATTTGGTATTGAAGCATCGTACTAAAATTTTGAAATACTATTTTGTTGAGTTATTTATTCCCGAATATTTTTGTGAGATTTCGTACTCATTGTGATGGAGCCGTGAACTCTTTATTATGGAAAAATATTATTGTTGAATTATTTTGGCATGAGCCGTGAGCTCTTTATCATGAAAAAATATTATTGTTGTATTATTTTGGCATGAGCCGTGAGCTCTTTATTATGAAAAATAATATTGTTGTGCAAATTATGATATATTATGATATTGATACGCATGCGGTGGTATAAGGTCTGGGTATTGAAACACATGCGGTGAGATATGAGTGACTTGATACGCGTGGCTAGTAGGGGAGACTACTAGAAGTCATGCGGTGTGATAAGGGTGGCTAAAAACGCGGGATGCTATTTCGGGAAAAATATTTTCTTTAAATAAATTGTGAAGGCTCCCGCGGTGATATAAGAAAATGATATGTTGTGAATTTATTTATAATTTGGGACTACGAGGCGGTACCTCGGGAGTACCCTTGTTGATATTGATTTATGGCCGCAGTTGCCTTTGATTATTGTTGTGATTTTCTTAAATTTTAAAAGAATTTTGTTTTGTTTCCACGAGGTATTAATTGCCATTATTTGGTGTAATTAAATAGTGCAATACTACTTGACTCATTTCCATTGTCATTTTATCTTATTATATTGTTAAACATTTTTCCATGCCAATATTTATTTTTTCAGTAGGGCCTAACCTGACT